GAGGATCAAGAAGAAAGCCGAGGGGACGAAGGAGATTGTGGACCTCCGTCCGATGAACGGCCGGACCATTCAGAGGGGTCGCTAGGGTTTAGGGTTTAGGGTGCAGGGTTTAGGGTCTAGGGTTCAGGGTTTAGGGTTTAGGGTTCAGGGTTGAGGGTTTAGGGTTTAGGGTTTAGGGCTTCGGGTTCACAACAAGGGCTTAGGGTTCAGGGCTTAAGCGATAACACACCGATAACCAGAACGATAGCTTTCGGTTCAGGAGGTGCATCCTTTCAGTTAGCTGGAGCCCTTTCATCCGCCCAAAAGCATCTTCCTCCATTTCATTTCTTGCTGCGCCCAAGCAGAGAACTCTAACCCTAAACCATCAACCCTAACCTCTAAACGACGAGGATGAGAAAGGAAAACACGATGTACAAGCCTCACATGGGGAGGGCTCCAGGGTTTGGGGCTTCGCGTGGGCATGTCGATCTGTGAGCATGAAGACCCAAGCTTAGGGTGTAGGGTTTAGGGTTTAGGGTTTATAGGGTGTAGGGTTTAGGGCTGAGGATTTAGGGATCAGGTTGTAGAGTGCCTGGCGTACAATGAGGTGTTTCGGTTAGCTTTGGAAGCTTCCAGTTCTGTGGTCACTTCATGGAGAAGACTTGCGGGCTATGGTGAGTTTTAGCTCTTGAGCGCTTAGGCTGGCAGTGGAACAGGGGCTCATTGTTGGTGGTTGCATTACGCTAAACCCTAAACCCTAAACCCTAAACCCTAAACCCTAAACCCTAAACCCTAAACCCTAAACCCTAAACCCTAAACCCTAAACCCTAAACCCTAAACCCTAAACCCTAAACCCGTGCGAGGATGGTCCCACCCCGGGTGGGTTCGATTTCGGGTTGAGGGTTTTAGGGCTTACGGTTTAGGGATTAGGGTTTTTGGTTTTGGAGTTTAGGGGGTTTGGGGGGAGAACGTATACCATGGATACCATTGGGGGTGGGGAGGGGGCCCGAGAAGGTACAGCGCACAACCATATACATATATATATATACACACAATTGACAATGATGGGTTCAAATCGAGTTTGGAATCTTAAGGGTGGTTGCGAATCCGGCTTCAGATTTTTAGGCTGTCTCGAAGGCTCCAAAGAAGCCTCTGCTGTTTGCCCAAATGTTCAAACCACGTGAAATCTTTTTGTTTTTGCTTGGGTGCGTTAATGGCAGGGGCATTAGCCGCTCTTCCTGAGCCCTCCGGTGTCAGGCGGCTTTCCAATCTTCGACCAGGGACATCTCGGCAGTTGCACCGCGAATGCTCTGGCGGCAGCCTTCCACTTCACCTTGCACAAGATGGAGGTAGAGAACCACAAGGACTTCGCCGACTTCACCCCCAGCCGCCTCTTCATCTACTACAACGAGCGCCTGGTGGAGGGAAGCGTGAACCAGGATGCGGGGGCCATGATCCGCGATGGCATCAAGGTCATGTCCAAGGTTGGTGTGTGCCCTGAGAGCGTCTGGAAGTACGACGATGGCCCCAGCTTCTTCAAGCAGGAGCCGGATGCGAAGGCATATGAGATCGCCCAGAAGTGCAGGGTCATGGGCTATGCTCGTGTTGCACAAGACTTGAGCCAGTTCAAGATGTGCATCAAGAGCGGCTACCCCTTCGTCTTCGGCTTTGCCGTCCTGTCAAGCTTCCAGACAGCGGAGGTTGCCAGGACCGGCAAGATGGTGATGCCCCAGGCGACCGATCAGCAGCTAGGCGGCCACGCCGTGTGCGCTGTGGGTTACGACGACTTCCAGCAGTGCTTCATCGTCCGCAACTCCTGGGGGGAGGCGTAGCTTGCCTGACCTCAGCGTTCGCTCTGTTCAACTGTTTGTGATGGAAGTCTCAGTTTGCAATAGCGGCAATACTTCTGTAAGAACTTGCCCGCTCAGTACAGTACGTACCGAATACCCAGGTGGGGTGACAAGGGCTACTTCTACATGCCCTACGAGTACATCTGCCACCCGGCGCTTGCCTCGGACTTCTGGGCCATCAACTGGGTGGAGGGCTTCAAGAACGCTGCCGCGAAGCCCATCAAGAAGTGAGTATCCATGGGTGCGTTCCTCGTTCGTCATGCCCTCGGCGACCGCTGCGCCTGATCTGCACTTAGTCTTCAAGAACAAGTGAAAGCTGCCCCTAAACCAACTGACCACGACATGCATTCGGTTTCAGCCATGAGGGGCAGCGTCATGTCAGAAAAGCTTAGACCACGAAGCGATTCACCATGAAAAGCCTGCTTTCCTTGGAGCTTTGACGCCCGGGGGTTAAGGGCTTTGGGCGTTGCATCAGTTGTGCGGTGTAGGCGCTGGGGTTTGGGGATTAAGGGTTTAGTGTTGAAGCGTACCAGTCGAGGTGCATGGGCGGGATGAGCATCGCATTCTTCTTCAGGTGCACGGCCTCCTGTTAGCACAGTGCAAAAGCGCCGTCCGCACTAAATTTGATGTACAGCGTTTCAAATCCACGGCTGCGGAAAACAAGCAGCCGAATGGTTTTGGTGCCCGCGATCGGCACATCGTGGGGCGACGCCCTTCTCAAAATCGTGCTTGCGCAAAAGAGAGTGCCGTAAGCCCGAAAACACAGCGACCCTAAACACAAAATCTAAACCCTAAATCCAGGGTTGCAGGGTACGCAACTCTTGGTCGCAAGCCCTTTCTGAGAGCAAAGTCCTCCACCATTGTTTATGAGTGCCCCGATCGGACTTCGGGTCCAGGGCTTAGTTGTCATGATTCCTTCAGTTCGGAGCTTGTGATTTTCGGGTTTCCAGCATAAACCCTAAACCCTAAACCCTAAACCCCAAACCCTAAACCCTAAACCCCTAAACCCCTAAAGAAGCAACAATGGACATTTTTATATTTTCCCTGCGCTGGTCTGACATCGAAGCATCCTTTGACAGCCCCAGTAGGGCTTGGGAGCTGAAGGTCCCTAAACCCGAAACCACGGCGGGGAGCGCATCGGTTTGGTTCTAAAGCAGGGGCAGGGAGCCGACTGGAGACTCTCCAATGTGTATAGGAGGCGGCAGGGACGTAGGATCAAGCACCTTCTGGGGTCCTGTCTGGTACCCCTGAAGTTGAATGCTTTTCGATAAGAGGCCACAAAGACCTCTGAACCCCTAACCCCTTTTTCACTGTAGGGGTGGTCCTAGGTGTTCAGGGTCCCTAAAACCACTGACTCCTAGCACCCAGCAGATCTTCAGTTGATCCGCTTGGCCCCTCTTGGCCCAAGTTGACGCGCTCCAACAAAGACGACGGTCGCAAGGTTCCTTTCGGAGCAAAGTAGACGGCTACTTGGCTGCAGCCGCCAGCTCAAAACAGCACAAGCCACCCTGAACATAACTCCTTACACCCTAGAAACCCAAAACCCCTAAGCCCTAAACCACTGCTGCAATCCGGGGACCGCTTAAAGACTGTTTGGCGCGGACGTGCAAAAGTAACCCCGGCGGGAGTCGGGAGGCCCTTTTTCGGGTTTAGAGTTTCAGAGTTTAGGGTTTAGGGCTTAAAAGAAAGCTTCTAGACGTGTTAAGGTGAGCTTCAACATGACTTTGGGCTGGCACATGTTGAGCCTGCTGTGCTGCAGGGCTGGAGCCCGCTTGTCGCTACGTACACTAAAGCAATGTGGAGTTGAGCCCCTTGAAGTCCCAAAACCCTCAGCCCTCAACCCTAAACCCCTAAACCCTAAAGCCCTAAACCCTAAACCCTTAACCTCTATAAGCCTCAGAGAGATCAGAACTGCTCAGAGCCCCGAGCGTTCGGAGGTTGACAGGTTTAAGGGTGCAGGGAATGCACTCAACCTTGAGCCCCCCAGATGCTTAGGGTTTAGGGTTTAGGGTTTAGGGTTTAGGGTTTAGGGTTTAGGGTTTAGAGGGAATGATGGCTCTACATATACCCTGTAAGGGATCATGTAGGGTACCTGAATTCCCATATTCCCCACGAAGAACCAGCCAGATAAACCCGAACCAACCCTCAGCTCGACACTCGAAACCCTAAACAACCCCTAAGTTTAGGGTTGAGGGTTGAGGGTTGAGGGTTTAGGGTTTAGGGTTTAGGGTTGAGGGTTGAGGGTTGAGGGTTGAGGGTTGAGGGTTGAGGGTTGAGGGTCTAAACCCGAAACCGCCCTAAGCCCTGAACCCCTAAACCCGAGCCCTTGGCCCTGAAGCCCAAGCTGCTAAGGCACCATGGGAGCTTGCGAGAGTGCACCGGCTCAGGTGGGGGAGATCAAGGCAGGGGCTTGTGTGTCAAAGCTGGCTTAGGGTTTAGGGTTTAGGGTTTAGGGTTTAGGGTTTAGGGTTTAGGGTTTAGGGTTTAGGGTTTAGGGTTTAGGGTTTAGGGTTTAGGGTTTAGGGTTTAGGGTTTAGGGTTTAGGGTTTAGGGTTCGCGGGTGTAGGGTCGAGGGTGGGAACCACGAATCTTACACACTGAATGTCGACTCGTGTCTACGACCTAAACTCTCCTGGGCCAAATGAAGGCCTGGTGTTCATTCCGTCCACGCAAGCCTCATTTCTTCATTCCCTACTCACCGGCAGTATGTATAAGGGCTTAGTTTAGGGTTTAGCTAGGGTTTAGAGCTTTGGGACAAGTGTGTCAGGCCGCAGGTTGTTGTTGTTGTTGTTGTTGTATAACGGTTCGCAGCCTTCAAGCGTCGTTCCCACACAAGTTTTATTGCCCTAGGCCTTGTGACTTGCGGCGTCCCTCGAACCCGGCAATTCAATCCGACAGAAGAAGCGCAATGCCAGGGCTTTCGGGGCCGAACACCCGAATTCAGATCCCGAACCGCTGCGCGCAAACCTGACAAACTCTGAGCCGCCTAGGCCATACCTCGCCCCCCAAGTTCCCCACATTCCCTTCCAAGCCCCGTCAGCTTCTCCTTAAACCCTAAACCCTAAACCCTAAACCCTAAACCCTAAACCCTAAACCCTAAACCCTAAACCCTAAACCCTAAACCCTAAACCCTAAACCCTAAACTCGAACGTTGGGAGGTTGATCGGCATCCTGCCATGAGTGGCATGGAGAGCCGCGCTGTTCAGAAGTTCGGCTGGAAGCCGGCCGCCCGCCTGACTGGGCTTTGTAGTACTATACTTTAATACTTTTTTTTGGTTTTGGGTTCCCATTATAGCTACTTATACCTAAAAAGTATATACTTTTTTTCTGGGTCTACTCCAGAGGTAGGCTGAAGTGCTTGGTGTGGCCGGGGGGGAGGGGGGGATATTTCGAGTTTGGGGATTTAGGGTTTCAGGTTTAGGGTTTAGGGTTTACTGGGTTTACTGGGTTTACTGGGTTTACTGGGTTTACTGGGTTTACTGGGTTTACTGGGTTTACTGGGTTTACTGGGTTTGCTGGGTTTGCTGGGTTTACTGGGTTTACTGGGTTTACTGGGTTTACTGGGTTTAGGGTAATAGGTAATAGGGTTTAGGGTTTAGGGTTAGGGTTTACTGGGTTGTGCTTTCGGAGGCTGTTGTTGGATCACTAATCACTTTTGCACTACGGGCGCCTATTCATGAATAATTGTCTGTGGGTCCCACCATGTCGTACCTACTCCCTGAATTGAACCTCATCCCCCTAAGTTGAACCTATAATCCCTAAGTTGAACCTATAATCCCTAAGTTGAACCCAAGTTTCGGGCTTTAGGGCGCCGACGCGTTGTGGCTTTGTGCGACGTGTCATGAGCTGCGGCTTGATCACGAGGGCTGTTGAAACCCTAGCAGAAAAGGGCTTTTAAGAGCCAAACAAGGGATCATTAAACAACAAAGGTTTTTAGAACGTTTCAAAGAAGCTGGGTTGCATCTTCAGTTTTGGGGTTTTGGGTTGGGGGAATATGTGCTCTCATGGTACATGGCGGACGCCACCAGCACCAATCCAATCAACCTCGGCATCTGTTAATCTACGGCCGCCACCCACATCATCACGTTGCCCGGTTCGGTTTAGGGCTGGCACCTTCAACATCCACCAACTGTGCACTCCATCGACGAGAACTTTAGGTTTGGAGCTAAGGGCTTAGGGTTTTGAGGGTGTAGGGTTTAGGGTTTAGGCTTAGGGTTTAGGGCTTAGGGCTTAGGGCTTAGGGTTTTGAGGGTTTAGGGTTTAGGGTGTAGGGTCGGTTGCTGCCTGGCAACACAGGACCTGCCCGACCACCGTGACCACCATGTCAGCTTCCCCACCGTGGAGGCCCCAAGCTCGACGCTCGTCGACTCCCAGAAAGCGGTTTCTTGGGGCTTGAGGAGGGTTCTGCACAAAGACTGAGCCCCAATGGCTGTGTTTGAGTGAATGAAGAAGTTGATTGCACACACGCACACACGCACACGCACGCACGCACGCACGCACGCACGCACGCACGCACGCACGCACGCGCACCCGCGCACCCGCACACACACACACACACACATATACATATATATATATATATACATACACATAAACATATACATATACATATACATATACATATACATATACATATATGAGCCCGCCGCCTTTAGGGTCTATTTAGCTTTGGGTTTTTCTTATTGCTTAAAAAGAGCGAATATAAATATCGTAATACAAAAATACATATTTACACCTACATATGGCACGCAAATCTCATGCCCAGCGGTTCTAGGCCTAGCCGCACGCCATTACGAACTGCGAATTTCTGGTTGTTCTTATTTTCATTTGTTTCTCTTTGCTATCTGTGTATGCGTGTTCTTTTTTCAGCCTGCGTGAAAAAGTCGCTGTTTGGCTGCGGCAGAAGGGAAAGAGAAGTGAGAGAGGAGAGACAACAAGGAGGCCATTTTAATTTTCTGGAAGGGTATTGATTGAAAAGAAGAGAAGAGACAAGAAACAAGGAGACGGATGGCACTCTTCTTTATCTATCATCTCTCCCTTCCTTGCCTCTCCCGTTTCCCTCTATAATTCAAAAGACAAGACCATTCTTGCTCTTCGCAGATCAGAGGAGAGATCAAAAGGAATGCAATTTTAATGGGAAGAGCAATGAAAAGAATGGAAGAGAAATGAAGACAGGAGAGGGAGGTGCAAAATCAGGCTAAGAGAAGATGGTGCTCGTTTTCATCTTTCTTCTCTTGCTCTTTTCCTTTTCAAATAAACAACAAAAGGAAGAACAATGAACATGCAAAGGAACCCGTTTTCTTTTTCCATTTGGGAACAAGGAAAGAACAGAGGCGATAAGGCGAGAGGAGGGATTTGCTGAAGCATGGGGAGGGTCTACGGACAAGGAGCCAACCCCGCTCACTTTCCCCATCCATTGAAACAGGAAAAGAAAGGAACAGGGCCTCCATTCCCCTCTTGTTCTTCCTTTCTTGTGTTTTTGTCACATCAAGGGGAACAGGAGAAGAGAAGGGAGAGAGAAGGAGAGAGGAGAGACAAAAAGGATTGCATTTGTACTGGGAAGAGCAAAGAAAAGAATAGAAGAGAGATGAATAAAGGAGAGGGAGAGACAAAATAAGGCGCAGAGAAGATGGCACTCTTCTTTATCTATCCTCTCCCCCTTATCTCTCCCTGCCCTCTTTCTTTTCGAAATAAGAAAACAAAAAGGAAGAACTATGAGAAGGAGAAGGGGACGGAAAGGAACAGAAGGGATAGGCCGATAGGAGGGGGTATGGCAAGGTCCACGCGCAAGGAGTCACCCTCTGCTTACCCTTCCACTGCCTTATCATACAAGTTCCTTTCTTGCGCTGTATCAGTTGAAAGGAAACAGAAGGAGAGAAGGGAAAGGGAAGTGAGAGAGGAGTTTTTCTGGAAGCGCAACTGTACCGGAATGTGGCCACAATAAGCAGGCCAGGGAGACTCAGGCGGGGCAACTGTAGCGGAATGTGGCCACAACAAGCAGGCCAGGGAGGCTCAGGCGGGGCAAGTCTCTCCCTAATTAGAAAAAAACCAATCTTGCTTTTCGCAAATAGATAAGTGCCCTTCTTCCTCTTCAGGAAATCGCCTTTCCCTTATTTTGCTTTCTGAAGCGAATAAGAAAAAGAGCAGATAAGAAGAGAGGACAGGGAATGACTAGGTAAAGAGAGGAGCTCTTCAATTTTGCATTACTTTTCCTTCTTGGGGGGTCCTTTTTTCTCCCTTGAAGATGCAGAAAACTCTCAAAAGAAACGCCCGTTCCATCGCCCATTTACTCTTCAATTCCCTTCCTTATCTCCTATGCTCTTTTCCTTATTCATTGCAACAGGAGAAGACAGGAAAAGGGCCTCCATTCCCCTCTTGTTCTTCCTTTCTTGTGTGTTTGTCATATAAAGGGGAACAGGAGAAGAGAAGGGAAAGAGAAGGGGAGAGGAGCGATGAAAGGAACACAATTTTAATGGGAAGAGCCAAGAAAAGAATGGAAGAGAGATGAATAAAGGAGAAGGAGAGACAAAACAAGTTGCAAAGAAGATGGCGCTCTTCTTAATCCATCCCCTCTCCCTTATCTCTCCCTTCCCTTTTTCTTTTCGAAATAAGAAAAACTAAGCAGGAAGAATTATGAAAAGGAGAAGGGTAAGGAAAAGAGCAGAAGAGATAGGCCGAAAAGAGTGATATGATGAAGTATGGCAAGGTCCACACGCAAGGAGTCACCCTCTGCTTACCCTCCCACTGCCCTTATCATACAAGTTCCTTTCTTGTGGTTTATCAGCTAAACGGAAACAGAAGGAGAGAAGGGAAAGAGAAGTGAGAGAGGAGAGACAACAAGGATGCCATTTTAATTTTCTGGAAGGGTATTGAAAAGAAGAGAAAAGACAAGAAACAAGGGGACGGATGGCACTCTTCTGTGTCTATCATCCTTGTCTTTCCCTTTTCCCTCTATAATTAAAAAACAGGCGCCATCTCTCGTCTTCAGGAACCCGTTCACTTTTTCCGTTTGGGAACAAGGAAAAGAACAGAGGCGATAGGGCGAGAGGAAGAATTTGCTGAAGCATGGGGAGGGTCTACGGGCAAGTAGCCAACCCCGCTCACTTGCCCCATCCATTGTGAAAAGAACAGGGCCTCCATTCCCCTCTTGTTCTTCCTTTCTTGCGTTTTTGTCATTTAAGGGGGAACAGCAGAAGAGAAGGGAAAGAGAAGGAGAGAGGAGCGATGAAAGGAACACAATTTTAATGGGAAGAGCCAAGAAAAGAATAGAAGAGAGATGAATAAAGGAGAGGGAGAGACAAAAAAAGGCGCAAAGAAGATGGCAATCTTCTTTATCTATCCTCTCTCCCTGATCTCTGCAAGGAATAGAACAGACAGGAAGCAAGGAGACGGAGTGACAAAACTTGTCGCAAAGCTTTATATATCTCCCTTGTCTCTCCCTCATTAGAAAAAACCAATCTTGCTATTCACAGATAGATAGGTGCCCTTCTTCCTCTTCAGGAAATCGCCTTTCCCTTATTTTGCTTTCTGAAGCGAATAAGAAAAAGAGCAGATAAGAAGAGAGGACAGGGAATGACTAGGTAAAGAGAGGAGCTCTTCAATTTTCCTCCCTATCTCTTATGTTACTTTTCCTCCTTGGGGGATGTCCTTTTTTCTCCCTTGAAGATGCAGAAAACTCTCAAAAGAAACGCCCGTTCCATCGCCCATTTACTCTTCAATTCCCTTCCTTATCTCCTATGCTCTTTTCCTTATTCATTGCAACAGGAGAAGACAGGAAAAGGGCCTCCATTCCCCTCTTGTTCTTCCTTTCTTGTGTGTTTGTCATATAAAGGGGAACAGGAGAAGAGAAGGGAAAGAGAAGGGGAGAGGAGCGATGAAAGGAACACAATTTTAATGGGAAGAGCCAAGAAAAGAATGGAAGAGAGATGAATAAAGGAGAAGGAGAGACAAAACAAGTTGCAAAGAAGATGGCGCTCTTCTTAATCCATCCCCTCTCCCTTATCTCTCCCTTCCCTTTTTCTTTTCGAAATAAGAAAAACTAAGCAGGAAGAATTATGAAAAGGAGAAGGGTAAGGAAAAGAGCAGAAGAGATAGGCCGAAAAGAGTGATATGATGAAGTATGGCAAGGTCCACACGCAAGGAGTCACCCTCTGCTTACCCTCCCACTGCCTTTATCATACAAGTTCCTTTATTGTGGTTGATCAGCTAAACGGAAACAGAAGGAGAGAAGGGAAAGAGAAGTGAGAGAGGAGAGACAACAAGGATGCCATTTTAATTTTCTGGAAGGGTATTGAAAAGAAGAGAAAAGACAAGAAACAAGGAGACGGATCGCACTCTTCTTTATCTATCATCCTTGTCTTTCCCTTTTCCCTCTATAATTAAAAAACAGGCGCCATCTCTCGTCTTCAGGAACCCGTTCACTTTTTCCGTTTGGGAACAAGGAAAAGAACAGAGAGGCGATAGGGCGAGAGGAAGAATTTGCTGAAGCATGGGGAGGGTCTACGGGCAAGGAGCCAACCCCGCTCACTTGCCCCATCCATTGTGAAAAGAACAGGGCCTCCTTCCCCTCTTGTTCTTCCTTTCTTGCGTTTTTGTCATTTAAGGGGGAACAGCAGAAGAGAAGGGAAAGAGAAGGAGCGAGGAGAGATAACAAGAACACCATATTAATGGGAAGAGCCAAGAAAAGAATAGAAGAGAGATGAATAAAGGAGAGGGAGAGACAAAACAAGGCGCAAAGAAGATGGCACTCTTCTTTATCTATCCTCTCTCCCTGATCTCTGCAAGGAATAGAACAGACAGGAAGCAAGGAGACGGAGTGACAAAACTTGTCGCAAAGCTTTATATATCTCCCTTGTCTCTCCCTAATTAGAAAAAAACCAATCTTGCTTTTCGCAAATAGATAAGTGCCCTTCTTCCTCTTCAGGAAATCGCCTTTCCCTTATTTTGCTTTCTGAAGCGAATAAGAAAAAGAGCAGATAAGAAGAGAGGACAGGGAATGACTAGGTAAAGAGAGGAGCTCTTCAATTTTCCTCCCTATCTCTTATGTTACTTTTCCTTCTTGGGGGATGTCTTTTTTCTCCCTTGAAGATGCAGAAAACTCTCAAAAGGAACACCCGTTCCAGTTCCATCGCCCATTTACTCTTCAATTCCCTTCCTTATCTCCTATGCTCTTTTCCTTATTCATTGCAACAGGAGAAGACAGGAAAAGGGCCTCCATTCCCCTCTTGTTCTTCCTTTCTTGTGTTTTTTGTCATATAAAGGGGAACAGCAGAAGAGAAGGGAAAGAGAAGGAGAGAGGAGCGATGAAAGGAACACAATTTTAATGGGAAGAGCCAAGAAAAGAATAGAAGAGAGA